ATATATATAACGGAGGAAACAATTTAATGAAACTTATAAGCCAATATACTTAATATTACAATAACTATGGTAGTTTGAAAATAAAATTGTATTGATGTAATGAACTTAGATAGTATGTAATTTTAAAAATCACTTATTCTTCAAAGAATAAAATCCAATTACAGGCATCAAAACGTTTTGTTGTTTCTAAAGGCTTGTACTAAATAATGAGAAGTATTTAAGTTTCTTATGTTATGCAGCAAGGAATTCACATAAATTTGAATAGTAATCATGAATATTATTCAAATCTATATTAACGATTTGAGTAGTAAGCACGAAAATACTTTCATACTAGTGAAAATTATAACTTTCATGGACTTAAACTAGATAAAATAAGGTCTCCTGAAAAAAATAACAACCGGTAAAAATAACTGATTTTTAATAACTTTGTACAAAAAATATCCCACCAAGGAAAAATTTTACTTGTAGAGTTTATATTTTAAATTTTATTTATAACGGGTGAGTAATATGAAAACATCTTACTTAAACTTCCATCTGTAAGAAAAGTGTAATTTTACTCCATGCGGAATATATAAAAAATGTGTTAAAAATAAATATTTCTGGTGAATTATTCATGACTTTACCTTTATTCTTGCATTTAGTAAGAAATATTTCTTTTATTTTGACATAGCTCGTATAAATGAGCAAAAGCATTGTTTTTACTAGGCTTATGCATCATTGAACTAGCATTATTTTACAATTATCTTATTATTAATTTTGAAATTTGATATTAAAGAAAATAACATTCTAATTCCTTGATTTTATGTCAAAGTTTTCTTTCTTTCATTTTATGAGTAGAGTTTAAGATATAATTTAAACACAGTCTATGATTCAATTTTAATATTTAACTGCCTATCAATGAATGTAATTTCGAAGATATTTTTAGACTCATTTTGCTAATTTATTTATATCTACGTTGAAGTAAGAACACACCATGGCAGGGACTATCCAATGATTTCAATTTTTCTTGCCTAGTTAAAAGCTATTCCTTATCTTAATACGTTGATATAAAAGCAAAATGACTATTATTAATGATTTTGTGTCTTTCAGAAATTTAAATTTTCTGCCTCTGTAAAATATCATGTAAATGTTAACGGATTTTTACCCGTGTCCATTTTTCATTTGTTTAGGCAAAAAATATATTCTTAATAGCCTCTCAGGCAATAATAAATTTAATTTTAATTTTACAAGGGGTTTAAACATTATAATTAAAACATTATAAATAAAATATTAGAATTGTAGAATGTAGAAATGTAGAGCACGGAAGTATCGTACCGATTACGCAATTTCTCATTCAGTGCTTTCCTTATTTTCATAGTTCCTGAAGAAAAAATTATCCTTCAAAGAAATAAGACGATAATATAAAACGATACTGTAAACGATAATGCAAAATGGTTTTATTTTATTTTAAAAAGCGTAATTTAATGTTGCAACAAAAAGATATCCTTTTCATTTATTTTATATACTTTTTTTTAATTATGACAGTTTTATGTTATTTATGTCAACATATTTCACAATAAAGTTAAATAATATGAAATTATATACAGGGTGTATATAAAGTCCCGGACCCATTTTGATGTTTAATATCTCATAAAATAATAAAGATTGATTAAAATTAATATTATAAATGGATAGATAGGCTCAAAAAGTTTCATGACCTCTGTCAATGAACTTTCACGTGTGCCCCCTTCGTCGCACGGAGAATATCAAGTCGATAGTCGATTTCACGCCAGGTAGCGGCAAGCATGTCGGCATCCACAGAGGCTACTGCTGTTGTAATTTTGGCTTTTAGATCCTCCTGTAAACATTGTCCTTTATAAATCCCCAAGGAAAAACGACATGTGGCTGAGGCTCTTCTAGTTGTGGAAATACGACTGATACATTTTCCAACATGTCTAAGTAAACGACTGATGAGATCGTCTTTTCTATAAAAAAGAATGGCCCAATGACTCGATCGTGCATTAGTCCACACCACACATTAACCTTTGGGAATCCCTTTGTGTCTCACATTATTCATGGGGGTTTTCAAATCCCCATATATGCGCATTATGGCGATTAACAATGCCAGAAACACCCATTTTGGACCCATTTTGATGTTTAATAACTGACAACGCTTGCTGCTACCTGCGTTAAATTGACTATCGATTTGATATTCTCCGTGCGACGAAGGGGGCACACGTGGAAGCTTATTGACAAGGGTCATGAAACGTTTTGAGTCTATCTAACCATTTATGTTATTAATTTTAATATATATTTATTATTTTATGAGTTATTAAGCATCAAAATGGGTCCAGGACTTTATAAACACTCTGCATTTTAGAAATCAAGAATAAATTTGTTAAAATTTTAGTAGTCAAATATTTTTACTAAAAATATTTATATAATAAAATTTAGTATCAAAAACTGAAAATTGTTAAAAAAAATACAAAATAGTCTTGCCAAGCGTAATAATATTATTTTAAATAGTATTAAAATTAAATTTTAATCACTATATTATAAATGTGTATGTTAGTTAATCTTCTTATTTTTATATTAATGTCAAATGTATAGACATAATGTTGCACTCAGTTAATTTCGATGGTCACAAATTTTTTCAGAATTATCCGATGAAATTAATACACTCCTACAAATTAAATATAATGTTTCGGCAAAATGAAAGATAAACTATTTATTCGAAAAAATATACCATGTATTTTAATATCAAGTGCTTTCTGATTACTTTTAAATTAAATGATAGAGTTACGGTATTATTATGTTAATATTATTTCTTTAATAAATGGTTTTAAAATTAATTTTAAACATTTTTAAAAAATAATTTGATTAAAATGTAGATATTGTGTCATAAAATGTCATGAAAAACAAAAATATCATAAGAAAGTATCTGATTTAACTTACTCAATTTTCCATCTTATTTCAAGCAAAGAAAAGAAAATATAAACATATTATCGCAAACATTTCATATTTTCAATAAAAAATTAACAATAATTCAGATCAAAATTGATAAAAAAAACTTTTCATCCAACAATTTTCTTTTTCGAAATTGCATGAAAGTAGACTGATAATGATTGATTTATATTTCAATTTTAAAAAACTACATAGAGATAAGTAAATGTTTATGAGAAATGAAACGCATTTAAAATTTTCTGATTTGTAGAAAAAAAAAAACAAAATTTTATTAAAAAAAATTATTAAGCCTCCCAAGTTAACCTCTGTATTCGGCTTACGAAATGTTGTAAAATGCACACTGAATTCATCATCCCGACACCACGATCTTAGGGTGAAATATATAGACGTAATGATTATCTACTAGCCAAATATAAACATAGATACATATGATCTAGGTCATCATTTTTCTTGGATTTAAGAAAAATATGCAATTGCATCTTAGGAGAAAACAATAAAACTTAGAATATAGAATGTGTGAGTAATTTTTAAAAATAATTAGTGGCAAGTAATTTTACTTGGAAACAAAACTGATCGAACCACCAATCTTGCTTCTTTTGAGCTTGAAAATATTAGTTCCTAAAATACTAGGTGCTCCATTTTTGATTTTTATACACTGCATGTATTATTAAAAAAGATAAACAATATTACAATATTAAATTGATTTAATAGAAGGATTAAAACATACATTTACCTTCAATATATTCATTATACAGATCTATTAAATAGTCCACACCTGAAATAATTAATTCATTTTAGACCCCTATATATATCAAATATTCCAAAGATCATGTTCTGAAATTTAAACAATGTTAAATGGTGGGTACATAATTTTATGTTTTAATATTAAAATTCATTTTTTAACCCTTTTCTGCAATAAGTGGCGAACACGTAAAATGCTATTTAATATGCTGCACACATTTAGCAAACTTTATTGTTTAGTTTTTACGCTCTTTGTTTTGGAGATAGCGTATAAAAAAACTCTTTTAACTCATACCTAAAGATATTTATATGTGTCTAAATTATTATCTATATCTAAAACTGACCTCTGTGGAATGGAATGATCTTGATAACTGTATTCATTTATTAAATAAAGCTTATTGACCAGTATCTTTAATTGTTACTTGTGAATAAATATTTTCATATACCATTTTGCATATGCATTACTAAAATTGTATTTAGGGTTTTTTGAAAACAGCTTATATTTTTACTGTTATTGTAAGCCATTTGATTCTTCACCCACAAAAATTCGTAATCTGATTTTGCACATTAATTTTAAATAATATTTTGGTTTAGTCTAAGAAAAATATAAATGCAAGTTAACAATGCTTTTAGTGAACTTTAGTTTCAGTTCTTTGAGCAAAATGCGTTTATTTGGTTTGAATTATATTATATTTCCCAAAATTAATTCGTCTATTAATTAACTCTTATAAGAGAGTTATTTAATATATTTTTAATATAAGTGAATGCAAAAAGAAATCTGATATGAAGCTCTAGTTTCTTAAAGAGTATACTAGGGATTTAATGCATTAAATAAATTGGTCATAAAGAATAAAAAATACCATTCTTCAGCGTTTTGATTTAAAATTGACGCTGTTTAAAAATTTCCTTAATTAAAAATGTGCTGATTTTTTTTAAAATATCCAATCAATAAAACTTTTCTTTTCTCAACCAAAACTGTACTCATCCAGAAATCATACATAAATAGGCTTACCTGAGTAGTCACTATCTGTGAATATTCAATTAGAGACAATCTTTAAAAATATACGAACTAACAAAGTCTAATACTCTTGTAATGCATTTAAAATATGAATTTTGTCAATGAAAGCATTGGATTAGGAAACTAAACTAGTTGTTATAAGGGTGATAGATAAATAGTTAAACGCAACTATTCAGAGACAATTATGTAAGGAAGGACAAGATTTGTAATAACTGATGTATTCTGGATATCTCCGTGGTTTTACAGTTACTTGCCTAATGAATTCTGCTTATGTGATTTTATATGTTTTGTATGTTTTTTCGACCTTTCTATCAAGTGTAAATCTTTCTCTATGCTGCACCAATATATAACGCCAATATCTATTCCCAAAATATATTATTTTTTTGCAAAAAAAGAAAGAATGATAATGTTTTAAAAATAATAGAAATTAAATGTTATTTGTATTATAAAATGTGTTTCCTAACTGTTTTTATACAATTTATTTATTTAAACAATATGCGAAAAAGGTGATGTTTGCAAATTTTTTAAAGTAGCGTCTAGCGGGTGAAGCCTCTTTCACACATTTTACGAGAAAATAAACTATTTTTGTTCTCCATTAATACAATACTAGAAATTTTTTAGCATACATTCAATTATAAAATTTTTTCTATCGATGTAAGAAGCTAAATGTAATATTTTAAATATATTTACATAATTTTTATATATATATTTCTTTGCTTACATAAAACGCAAATCAAGAAACATGAATAGCTTTGAGAAGTCTTTATGTAATGTGTTTTAAATACATTTAAGCAAGTTAAGGCCATCGCTAATCTGTATGTCAAATTTTTATATCGTTTTTGCAAGCAAGTTAAAAATTTATATTAATTAAATATGTTATTCCCCAGCTATTATTAGGACTGAAATGGTAGTTTAATTTATACTACAGATCATTGTTCATTCAAAGTCCCTTTTTTATACGTTTTGGTGTAAAATTTAAACAAGAGAATAAAAAAAATGTGTAATTTAGGAATACATACATGCCTTGAAATCAAAATCTAAAATAAGCATTTTGATTAGTTTATGTAAAAAGAAATCATAGCAGTTTAAAACACTATTTATTGTTTAAATATTTTTTTTTACTTTACAAAGTTTAATAGCTACTTTCATAAAATTATACAATGTGTAATAGCTACATTCATATAAATTTGCATAAGCAAAAGAGGAGGAAACATTACTCAATGTTCAATATGAAACATTTTTTCAAAAGCAAAATATATTAAAAAAGATTTGAAAAATAAAAAATTGAAAAATAATGAATGAAAAATTGAAATTTTGCGTCAATTTATAAAGGAAATAAAGTGTTCGGAGAAAATGAATAAACATCACATTGCTGATGTTCTTAAAATCGACATTAAGTTTCTATTAGCATTCTAAATGTGTAATATTTCAAACTAAGTGTATTTTTCAAAATGGAATATTTTTTTAAATAGATGATTAAGAGAAAATAATATTTAGAAAACGACTTAAATAATAAAAGTATATTTTTACCCAGCGATGGATCTGAAAAGTAAAATGAAAAGTTAAATATTATTTTGACGTCTTAAATTAAAAGAAGAATTCATTAACAAATTTCAAATTGCGCAACTAGAATCATTAAAAGTAAACCAAGGAAATATAAACGTACAATCATTGTAACTGAGGCCTGCAAAATAAATATAAAATGTTCATGGATAAAATAGTTGAAATAAAGATCAGGTATAAAATGTATATACAGATTTAAAATGTTTATACAGATACTGAATTATTTTGTTGATAGCTTAGTTTTAATTGTCACTTCGTTAAGAGTGGAATACTGAATCTTTTACTTACCTAATAAGTTTTGACGAACTAAAACGATATATTGATTAATAATTTTGAACTAATGACGTCGATATAAATTTAGAAATAAAAAACCAATTAATATTAGAGATAAGAGTATGAAAATGAGTGAAAAAAGTATAAAAAATAATTTTTCTTCTGATTAATAATGAATAACTTACGTTTTCTTCTTTCTTCAGATTCATCATCTTCGCACTCACACGGTACTTTTCTGTAACCTTAAAAATTTATGATTAACAAAAATATGTGCATGTACATCATATTTGTTATGCCAAATATTGAAAATAAATTAAATAGCGGAAGAAATAAGAAGTAGCAAAAAAATAAGTATTTAAAGTTTCTTGTGTGTGTGTGTTGTTGTTAATATGAACAAAAAAATATCATTTTATCATTATTCATTTAAATTTTTGCAAAACAACTCATCATATAAACATTCAATTGATGCCACTAAAAACAAATCGACCCTTGAGTTAGCAACATTTTCAAAAAAACACAGGTCAAAAAATCTTAATATTTCGATCAATAATTAATAAAAAGCTTCAGCTAGAATTTTTGAGTTTTTAATCCCATAATTTTTGCAATAATATTTTTATATTTATCGTAGTTTTTACAATAACAGTTGCAATACGTAGTTTTTACAATTGCAGTAATTCAGCAAATTTTGCTTTAAAAATTACGGTATATGAGATTTTGTTGTTCAGTAAAATTTAACATGATTAATTTTACATTAAAAAGTATTGACACCGTGAATGCATTTATTTTTTATAATTATTTTATCATTAAGTTTTTGCAATATGAAAACAGTTTGGAATGTGTTATGAGGAATCTGTTTTGTCTGAAACAACCATTTGTTAGGACAAAATTGTCTTTAAACGCGGTCATATAGACAATGCAATGCTTAACGCTTGGGTAGTCCATATATGGTGGTTGCACAAGAAAATTAGGAAACAATAATCAAAATTGCACTGACAACAGTGTATTAAAGTTGTAGATCTAAATATATTATAAAACAATAGTTTTAGATCTAAGATATATTTAGCATCCTAAATATTTACAAAAGCAGCGCGTATAGTATTTTGAACAAATATTTAGGCATGAGGAATTGTTTTCCAAATATCTGTCACTCTTACATATGGAAACAAAAATTTCAGCTTGTTAATGATTCAGTACACTGTTTCAACCGATATAAAGCAGACAAATATGAATTCAAGCAACGTATTATGGTAAGGGATCAAATTTGGATCTTTTTATTACTCTCAGAAACCTAATTAACAGTAGGTTGAATGGAGAAGGAACTGCTAAAGTCATCTTAAGCAGTCAAAAACACAAAAATCATCCAATCAAAAAAAGTATGCATGGCCACACAATCATCGATTGGTTAGGAAAGATAGAAACTATTTACCATGAATGGAAATAGATTGGTCATTTTCTACATAAAAATGATAATTCTAAAGTAAAAAATTTTTTTGACCGGAACCTTCAGGGGAATAGAAAAAGATTAATGCCTAAATATACTTGGAGCAGGAATATTGTAAATGAATTAAATACAATAAGAAAGACATGGAGAGAGGAAAAATATCTGGCAATAGAAGTCCTATGCTCCGATTAAGAGTGAAAAGGATAATGTATGTATGTATTAAGCAACACTATTCAGATAACTGGAGGCCGAAATCAAGGAATTCCTAAAAGAAAACGCGTTTTTATCAAGACTGTAAAGCTTACACCAAGTCGATGGCTATGATAAAAGGGCATTAATTGATCTCTCCGTTGCTACTCTTCCAACTGTATTTTCGAGATCTAGCCCGTAGAAATCATTACTTACTCACTACTCACAAAATGATAATTCATGAAAAGATATTTTACGGAAATGAAGAGGTCCTGTCAGGTGCAGAAGCTTTATTTAGAGGTCTCAGTATTTCGATCTGTAAGAATGACGTTATTTAAATGACAGTTAAATGCTAGAGAATTATTATAATGAATGTATCTGGCTTGAATAAGACTACTTTTATGAAAGAAAAACTAACTTAGACAAATTAAAACTTTCTTACTAGCTTGAATTTTCAGCCGATTTGTCTAATACTTTTTGTAAAATTCCTTACATAATTTAGTGCATAATAATATTATTAAGTCGCCACGTAATTATTTTAACAACTTTTTTTCATATAAAATATTTACCTTCCGGCAACCCATCTTCTGCAATGTGTTGAAGTTGAAAATAATAAGACAATAAAAAAAAAGATTTCAGTTTATAAAAGTGATTAGCAGTGTAAAAAAAATAGGTTATCAGGTTCATAACATCATAGAAAGAAGACAAAATATTGTTTTTGCTTTTGGTTCTGTTACTGATGCTCCTTACAGAAGAAATGGACAACAAAACAAAATGTGTAAATAATGATTTATTATTTAATTATATTTAATAACTTAAAAAGAGACAAATAATTTTAAAATACTTAAAGAATTTAATTTAAAAATATTGCTAAGAAAGTAGATGATGAAAATATGCTTAAAAGTTTTTTTTAAGTATTATAGAAGAATGAATGGTGGCATTTAAAGGCAATACTTAGCATTTGCTTTAGAACAATATATTTAACATTTCATAATCGAGTTCTGAACTAATACAAATATAAATTATGTATTATTTGCTTAGTTAAAAAAATTTCGTAATTAATGCATATAACTTTATAAAATCTTCTGAATAATATTTTTCAATAACCATTTTCATGATTTTTTAATTTATCTTACGCCTGAATTAGAGTGCCGCATGCTTTTAATCTTATTAAATATTTTATAAGTAAATCCTCGTCATCGTTACATATCAAGCAAGTCAATTTAAAAATATTCAGAAAATTTGATTCAAAATCTGCATTCTTTTATAGAGAATGCAGAATAATTAAGGAGTTCACATAATTTGCCATGATTTTACTTAATAAAATTGTAAAAATATTCATTAAATATTATAATTTCTAATTAGGTAATAAAGAATGATTAATATTTATGTGAGTTAAACTGGAAAGAATGTTCAATTTTAAGCCGAATAATTAGAGTGTATACAAAAATATCAACGAATACGGAAAAATAACTAAATATTAAAAATTAAAATTTTAGTACATAATTTAAAAAAAATAATTTTAAACACAATTTTATGATACATACCTGGCAACAAAAAATAATCTACATACATTCATTGAAAGTATTATTCAAAAAATATTATGTTGATAAAAATATTTATATAAAAAAAATAGTGCGTGGAGTCCCTCCGAGCGGGAGAAGTGAAACTTCGTAACGTGGAAATGAAAATAGGAAGGGGTAGAAATTGATTTTTACTGAAATCATATTGTTTCTTTAAGACAAACTTTATTAACATTGCTTACAATTCACAATTGATCGCTTATAAATGTCCTACGNTCGAGTGGAGAGATATCCAAATCTATAACATTTACAATGGGATTATGATAACTAAAGTAAGATACGAAATGTTTGAGTTCTATTTTTTCAATATTTCTTGCAAAAACTGCATCAATGGTAGTTCCCCCTTTGGTTGTTGGATCATTCCTACCATTTATCATTTCCAATCCAAATTTGTCTTTAAGGAAGGTTAAGAATGTTTAAGCTTCAGGTAATGAGTAATTCACATTAAAATCTCCTGCAAGGATCACAGGCCGCTCGTTGCCATGGTAGCGTTAAACGCTTAACGCAACCTTGTTGGAAGTCACATTAGAAGTTTCACTTCAATAAATAATTTAATAGAAAACTTATGACTTGATTAAAAAAACTATTTTAGTTTTAAAAAGCAGGTTTTTAATACAACTATTTCTGATGGACTATTTTTAAAGCCTCTTAATTCCATGAAGCTGGGAATTCATGAGCACTTTGTTAGATCTTGTATCGAAAATTGTATTAAAAATAATGGTTTCTTAGTATTATACCAGTCAAAATCTTTTTCAAATTTAGTTCCTTAACTTTCGTTACAAAATATATAGAAAATAATAATTCGCTTATCCAAATTGCAATGTTAGACATTCAGGTAGGTATAATTCAAAAATTTGTAATTTTAATTTGAATATTATTCATAAGAAATAGTTTATAAACTCTATGCTATTAGTCGTGAAAAATACATACACTATAAAAAATCTCCGATCAAATGGATTAAACGAACTAATCCGATCAAATGGATTAGTAAAATGGATTCTCATTAATTCCCTTTTTTAAGTGCACATAAAGTGCAGAACTTTATACCCGTAATTTGATTTGGAACTTTTTACAGTGCAGGAACTAATACATTTATATACTAGTTCGTAAAGTTAAGGTGTCTCCCTCTTTTTACCGTCTCTCCCAAGTAGTAATTTGGAGATACTGACTAAGGCTTGCCTCAGCGGAGGTGACAAACTTTAGGTAACCATATTGGACTAAATCCACAACAATTAATTTATTAATTAAATTCAATCATAATAATTTTTTCTTTTTTTCAACTATTTAAGAACTGGTTTATTCTTAAAGCTAATTATTGAAGGAATATTTTTTTCAGATGTCTGTGGCTTGATCCGGACATTTAAAATCATTTCTTATTTTTTTAAGTCTATCACTTTATCACTGAATCTAGGCAAAAGATATGTGTTTGAACATTTCACATAACTATTTTGATCTGAACAAGTTTCACATTTTTAAAACTATGAAGACATTTTAATGAAATCCAAAGACTGCAGTAATTAAAAATAAATAAAGCAGGAAAATACTAATTGTACTTACAAAGAACGGGATCTAAAATATAGAAAGAGTCAAATGCATCTAATTTTAGCATTTATTCCCTGGTTTTGTTACTTTGATTCTTTTTTAAAACTTCTAATCGGTAATAATTTCTAATTTGGTAATATTTTAAGCTTTTTATTGTTTTGTAATTTTTTGGCTATTTATGTTTTTGATCGAATGAATACCATGTTTCATAGAAATAACTGTTCACATGTAGAATTTTTTAACGAGGTCATAGAATATTTTCTAATTAAATTGATTCTTATTCAGTTTCAGAATAATATTTAAATAGTAAATGCTGATGCTTTTCATAAAGATAAATAATCGTTAAAGTGACTATTTTAAGTGTATATGACATTTTATGATATTTATTTCATCAATAAGGTTGTAAAGTAAATTAATTTTAACTGGTTAGTTAATAAATTGCAGATTACAACAGATTACCCTGCGCAGTTAAAAAAATACTCCTAGTGAAGCTTAAAAAAAATTGCAAAAGTTACTCGTAATATTAAAAGAAAATTATTTCATTTTACGATTAAAAAAATCAAAAGTGACAGCATATATATATATATATA